TGCAGGAAAGAAGGATGTTAAAGCACTGAGGATGTTTTGTTCTTCCAGGCACCGGATCCTCAGTGGGTAACTCAGTATGAGTTTTGGGTTAGCCTGGTATAGTATTCCTCATAACAGCCAAAAGCAGAGGACTACAGGGAAATACAAAAACATTTGCTTGTTGAATAATCTCCTAGTTTCCAGGAACTTGCCAAGCTCTAAGCAGTATCTTTAATAACCCCTGATAGATTTCTCTTCCATGATTCTAACCAGTGTCTCCTTGACCCCATATAAGTTTTTAGCATTCATAACACAATATCCATGAGTCATCAATCCTTTAAGCAGCTTCATTGACTTCTGAACTCCCACAGCAGCACATAATTGACTATTAATTTAATTTACCACCATCACCTTTCACCATTAGTGTTTTTAGTCAAAGCGGTACCTTACAGATGGTTCTCTAGTAACACAGGCACACAGTTTCCTTCACTTGAATTCTTCATTAGGTTCCATGCATGACATTAAATACCAGTAGTATGCAGAAGGCTATAAAGTAAGATTAGTGATATGCTAAGGGCTGAAAACAATGGATCAGAAAGGTTTGACGATGAATCGAGGAAGGAATAAGTGCAATACAGAAAGCAACTACTTCATTTTATTCAGTTCTGTTGTTGACGTTGAGATGAAAAGTGAGAATATAGACAAAACCTCATGGAAAATCCTCTCTGACTCACAGAGGTTTAAACTATCACAAATGTGTGATCATGTTGATTGGTAAGAAAAAAGGTCGATGCACATGCACACATACACACATAAAGATTCAAGAATCCTTGGTGACAGTAAATGAGTCATGTTTTTAAGTGAAGTATCAGTGCTTTCTACCTACCACAGGGATTGGTCATTCACAGTCTCCTTTCACTAGCTAATGCCTTAGTGCCCCATAAGAGAGCCTGATTTTCATTACCTTAAATCATGGGCTGACTTGTGTATTCTGCTGTAGCAATTTCAGCTTCTTTGCAGAAACTAACATGTGGGCAACGATTAGCGGAAACATCAGCTTTAATTATTATATTCTTTTAGACCCAACTCAAACTGTCGGTGACAGAACTAGGCCTTAAACGCTACGTGGGAATTAGCTTTCCTAAAAATTCAGTAACAGAATAGACCTGAGCAGATGACCCACAGGTCATCTGTGAAATAATCAGCTTGGTGAAATCAGTATTTTAACCGTGACCCAAATAATGAAGCATATAGCTTATGCAGAAGGTAATGAAGCAGAAGGTTATGCAAAACAAGAAGCAGCTTCTAAAGCAATAGAGATACCTAGTAAGAGTTCTAATTACTAAAAAAACATCTTTTGTAAGGATTTAAATAAAACTCTCTCCCTTTTCAATTCTTCTGATGAGTTAGCTATTACTAATGTCAAAAGGTGAAGCCTGTCAGCCAAGAACTACATTAGAGGCCATAATTGAATTTCAAGAGTTGTCAAGAGCAGGCTAATAAAATAGCTGCTACTAGAAGTGATGTGTGAAAAAAAAAGAAAAAAAAAAGTAAGCTCTGGTCTGGCAGGATGCAAAGTATGTTGTGTGGTTTCCCTATGTCACTTCAAATAATATGTTCAATTTTTCTGGGCTACATTTGTCTGACATTCTTCTCTTGTATAATAATGATTCATTACATATAATATATTCAAGGACTGTAACTCACCTCTAAGTGCCTATAAATATTACTGCAGCTAGACATTTGCATTGTAAAACAAATGCGTAACACTAGGATTTATGAAGGATCCTTTTATATTAGTTCCTTGACAGGAAAGACAGATTTTTTCCTGAAGTAAAGCACTGACCTTAAAATGGTCTTAAAAATCCAGCACAGTAATCAATTAGCAGCTCTTCCTTTCCCGTGTTGTTTAGCTAATTAGACAATTTTAGGGAGGACTGGGGGGCAAAAGTACCACTTGGCCATTCAGAATGGATACAGCTGTCCTGTTGTTACATCGGTGTTACTGGGACTGTTCCCATGGTTATGATCGTAATATATCATACCTGCCCTCCCACTGCTTTGCAAAAGCATGAGCCATTCCCGAGCGGAGATCTCGGAGGCGGTGGAAGGCAGGCAGGTGACACTGCTCTGAGGAACGGCAGAATTAAAGCACAGTCCCAGCTGGAACAAAGGCTGCACGCTGTGTCACTGCACCGAGCGGTTAATGAAAGGGTGTGGGACGCTGGAATCCTTTATCACCCCTGGTAAGTAAATTTGTATGTGAATATATTGCAATTATTCTTCCAGAAACAGGGGAGAAAGGCAATGCAAGATGACAACACCTAGGGCTGGTAACCTAGTGGTGTCCTGACCTGTCTTGCTGCCACCCTCGCTGGGCGCAGAGTTGTTCAGTCTAGGAAAGACTACGAGCAATCTACTTTGTTCTCTTTCTGTGGTGCCAAGAATGAGAAGGAACAAGCTTAAGTTGCGGGAAGGCGCAGTTATGCCAAGCGTTAGGAAAACATTTCTAATAGGACGGCAAAGAATTGTAATGGCACACTCAGGGAGGCTGCAACATCTCCAGCGGTGCTCTCTGGGCTGACAAACTTTTAGGGAAAGGTTAGAAAAATGCCTATGAGAGATAACTCAGGCATAATCACTGCACTGCAAGATTAATTCAGTGCCCGTGCTCAGGTATCTCTGCAGCCTAACAGTGTTTGGCCACCACGTCCTGCTCTGGCATCTGCCGACTTTTCAGCTGCAGCCTCACATCAGTAACGCCTTCTCCTGCTCAGTGAGAGCTGCCACCAGCAGGACACAAGCCAGATGCTCCTGCTTGGGGCACTGACTGTTGACAAACTGGCCTTCCCAGGCCACTGCCAGCTCTGTTCTTCTGTGATTTCTCTGATTTACTACAAGAAATCTTAATATTTTTCCTTTGCTGATCCCCCATTAAGGGTGAAGATCTGCACTCAGTTTATTGATCATTAAATCAATGGCCAGCGTTCAGACTACGTGATGGGCTGTAGGCTGAAAATACAGAAATACCAGCAATTTCCCGGAGTAGCACTGAACAAAATGTCCATGGAGATCCCTCAGCCCTCAGTTAAGCGTACACTGGTCATTGATTGCACCAGGCTGTGCAACAGGAAGGCTGTCCTGAACTAATTCCTCCTGCCTGATCTTCTCTGCCTGCTCTGTGGCAAGTCATTTCTTTTTTTTCTTCAGTGCTTTTGGAGTCCTTTTGCAGGATGGGGTAAACAAGGTTCCTAATTGCACCAGGTGCCTGGGAGGACAGACAGGATCAAGTACTACCTTTGCCCATCCACGGCTTTAGCTACTCTCAAAGGGAAAAATGAGTGCAGCCATGTTCTCCGTTCTGTACTTATTTACACAGGGTTGTAGCAGAGCCTGCACTTTAGCTCTGTGTAGCGCTCCTGATGTCTTAAATGGAATCAGTCCTTTAACTGTGATTTGCTGCTATTATAAAACCTAGAGAACAACAATAACACCTGCAGGTTAGCAAAACGTTTTATTATACTGAAACATATTGTACACAGAGGAGAGCCAATGGTTACATTTCGTCTGTCCCATCAAACCAAAACACCTTTATCATATTTTCTATTGGCTTAAAAAGAAATACTAATAGAGATAATTTCATTATTAAAAATATATATAATGATTTCTATTTATTTTGTTTTATATTAGAAAGGCAAATTTTAGGATAGTAATATGGCTTAAATATATTAGTATTTTCCCTCTGGGGAGCTTGTCTTTGCATTTGCCTAGAACATACGTGGAATGAGTTCAGGAATCTATTCCTACGTGACATCAGGTATCAACCCATCATCTAAATTCAGCAAGCTGAATCAGAGTGCCTGAGCAGGGGAAGAATAAGGGTAGTCTGGGATGCCTGTTCTACCATGCTTTTCCTTTCCTGCATATTCAAATTTCTCCACCGTATTTTCATCCTAATTTTCACTCTGGATAATTCCAAGCTTATCCTCCCTTGTTTTAACCATCACCATAGTAATGAACAGGCTACTGTGTTATCAAAAAAACTCATTTTACCTTGGTGGAATTAATCACCACGGCTTCTTCTTTAGGTTTTGGGAGAAGGGAAGGAGAGAGTGACCGACTCCAGAGAGCAATTCAGAGTTTCCCCATGAGGACACCTTCACCAAACCACCTCCTGGAGAAATCCCTTTATCTCCACTAACTACAGTAGAAGCCCAGGAAGACTTGGCTGGAAGAAAATAGCCCTTATGAATCTTGAGTAAGTTCACAGGAGTCCTGCAGCATCTGAACTTCGTACATACCGCAACCTCTGCGGATGTCTGGAGCAGCACTCCTCCCCATCTTCAGTCCTTTGCTATTCTCCCCAGGGGCCAGGATTGCATAGTGTTTAGTGTTTGCAGGCTGACAAGTCCTCTCACTAGCTGGCATCTGTGCAACAACAGGCAGCAGACTGTCAAGCTTAGCTGGGATTTCTGCGTTTCTCTGAACTACGGAGTAATTGTTACCTGCACTTAACAGTTCCTAGTTATAAATTACTGAAATGCCAGTCAGGGAGAAAAGGGCTGCTATAAAAATGCACAGGATAAAAGGAAAACGACCTTCCCAGTGAGCTGAGGCAGGCCGCCTAAAATGACAGGAACAGCATCCTGTCTTACCTTAAACCATTTGTTGGACACTATTCACAACTGTCACGTGTGCAACACACAATTTTCAGTCAGGACTAAACTGGCTGAAACTGTACTAGCTTGACACTCTAACAGTGGTAGACAATCTGTAGTGCTATGTCCTTGTCCACATTCCCTGTAAAGCCCTGAAAATCTAAGGCAACATTATACCACAACTGCACCGTTCTGAAAGCATCATATTGAGCTTCTGCTTGTCAGACTTGCTGCTTTCTCTATCATGAGACACAAAGGAGCACTGTGACAGTAAAGATATCTGATCAGCTCTGACTACCGATGCCTGAGCTCATCAGCAGTTTGGGCCAAGAAGGCATTGTAACATTTAAAAAATATGGATGTTCAAAAAAGACTTGTATCTTGGTCATCGATAGATTCATTTTCCTGAATATACCGGAGAATGTCCACTTCATTCATTGTCTGAATATTGTTTTCCTTTGGCTTTGCCAGTGGAGATGAATCAGTGCTTCTGGGGACAACTGCTGGCTTCTGAGGCAGTGGTGGCTTCGATGGTACCTTAGGTTTTGGTTTTGGGGTTACTTTCAAGAGTTTCTCTAAATCATCTTCGACTCTGGAATGAAAAGAAAACATCAGTAACATCTTGAGAATTTTTTTGCTCTTCATTTTATAAGAAAATGCCACCTTGCAAAATAAAACTGTCTGCAGGAAAGAATCAGCTTGGATGAATTTCTCTTTTAGGAAGAGCTTTCCATAAAAGTTTCAATGTTAACCAAAATAAGAACAGTCTTTTTATAACGTGGTTTTCAGTTCACCATAAAAGTTAATTAATTTTACAGCAGGCGACTTGCAATTGTTAGCAGAAAAAGAACTTGGTTTTAGTTTGGGAAAAAAATGCTTTTGATTTGTGACAGGATGATTTCCTTGTGAGAAATTTTCATGGGATAGGGAAGTTTTTCACATTTGGCTCTGCTTCCTCTTCATCCCCATTCCCACAAGACTGAGACTGAGAACGCCCAATGCTCAGTCATGAGAAACTGGAAAAACTAAGGGCTTTACAAATACTGTGCTCGCATTTGCTTCCAAGAAACTGAGGAAGCTTTGCAATCTGTGACTGTGTACAACAACTCTTTGTGGTAACCGCTTCCCCCTATTTCCTAGTGAAATAACCCAAAACACCTGAAACAGTTAAGGATGTTTTCCACCTGCATTGTCAGACCTTACCAGGGGACACAGCATGCTGTGCGTGCCCAACTCGGTTCCCATAGGAGCTGTTAAAAGATTTTGAGAGCACCCTTGTAACAGATTGTCTTGTGACTCCAGGAGGTGTCTGCCTTTAGAAAGTGAGTATGGGGAGGAAAGGAAAAGAAGCTTGTGACACACCACATCTCTAAAAGTAATGGCAAAGTGAAAATTAGCATAGCTAGAGAAGTCTTTACAGGCCACGGTAATTTCTGCTCTGAATCAAAATAGCCTCTTGTCTTGGTCCTCTGAGCACTGTGGTCAAATAAAACATCAGAAGGAGTAAATGCAGTTCACAGAATCACAGAGTTGTTGGAGTTGGAAGGGACCTCTAGGGATCACCTATTCCAACCCCAAGTTGTTAATTTCCCAAAGGCTTGATTGGTAAATAATTGTTAAGCAGTCAAAACCCAACCAGCAATCCACACAGTTAATTAGCTCTGTCATGACCAGCTACAAAAGTGAAGCCTCTGACAAAACACATACCTTGTATATGATTACAAAATGCATGACTTGCAAAGGGCTCCACCTTTAGCTGTAGCATATAAAATCAAGAAAGCTAAAGGATAAGAAGCACAAGAAAAAACTTTTACATAGGGGAGCAGGAGCCAAAGATCATAAGGCAGGTTTGTAACAAGTGGGAATCGCCTTGCCAGACCCCAGGTGCAGTGTGATACACGTAGTCTATGACTGTAGCATATTTGGCAGTGAAATGATTTAACTGTTGAATTGTTTATAGGCACTGTTAGAAGAACTGTTTGTATCAAACTTCAGCCAAACGGTAGAGTAACAGGGAAGCTGCAAATGAACCAGGAGACGAAAGTAAGGTGCAGGAATTAATTCAAAGGGACTGGAGTTTTCTCTGATGCTAAGATACCCTTCAAACAGCTTTCCTTAGTTCACTCTTTGAGGACTCGTGAGGATAAGAAAGTCTGGCAAAGTGGTTCGTAAACAAGAAAGGAGTTGGCAGCACGTGCAGCCCATCATCTCCCTCTGTCTCTGCAAGGGCCCTCCACCAAGAGGCAGCCCAGTCCCTCCATGCAGGAAGATGAGACGGATGGTTGGTCACAGCACTCACAGCCACCTCAGGGCAAAGGGCAAGGAGCGAATGGAAAGGTGCCTAAGGGAACACACCACAGCTGCTTCTCTCCAGGATGATTCTCTGAAGCTTCTTATTTGAGACCCTGGGGACTGGGAGGGATTTGCTGGAAGTGCTCCCCAGCAGCTCCGCTCACCAGGAAGGTGCCTTTTTAGTTTCTTCTTCTACAAGTGCCATAGGTAGGCCGTCCCTGGAGCATGAATGAGTCTCATCGTCTTTCATTTTTTGGTCCTTCTACTCATTTGTCCTTTGTAGTGCCTGTCCTCCCCACTGCCGGGCAATGAGGCTGCAAAGCCACTGGGATAACTTCCTTTGACTAAATGCGGCTGTGATTTCTCCCTTTCTCTCTTTGTTCACCAGTAGCCTGTAAACGGCTCTAACCATACAGCAAAAGTTGGGATTCACATATTGGTGGAGCCTTCTGCAGGCTCTTAAAGCAAAGCTGAGCTCTCCCATAATGTGGAAGGCAACTGATTAACAGGCCAGTACCATGGGGAACATGAGCAGCAGCAGAATCAGTATCTCTGAGACACTCTATTGCTCCAAACTTAGTGCACATGGCTGGAATGTTAAAACCACAGGTACTCCACGAGCTGCAGCACTCTCAGCTAAAGATCCCATCATTATTAAGAAAAACTGCACGATTTCAGGGGTTTCTTTACTATGTTCATCCTTATTTAAAGCGGAGAGGAACTCACGTCTTCACTGCCCAGGCTGAGGGAAACTACACGCACCATGAACTGGCCATGAAGTGAACAAGGATTAGCCTGAATTTTCTGCTGCATAGAGAGTCAGAACCCTTTAAGGTAAAACTGATCTTGAAATCAGATCTTCTTGTGACTCCCAAAGGGAATCTGAAGAGGTTCTGTTTTAACCAAGACTAACCTTGTAAAATCAACTGCCTGAACACTGATACTTAAAACTAGAAAATACCTGAACAGACCAAGGGATGGACGAGTGGAGTGGGATCACTCTCCCAGAGCTCTGCACCCTGAACTCTACCTTGCGGACTTGTATTCCAGCAGGCAGCTCCTCAAATTTTATCCCTCAAGTAATTCTGGAGATTATATTCTCTTTAATTAGGTAAGATTTCTGATGTCTTTAGTTTCCATGATTCCCTGTGCGTGACATATTCCTAACTTACAAAACACTCTTGCCAGTGTATTTCTTCCTTCTGAACTTCTCATCTACACAGAGGAATTAATTTAATTTAAATCCAGGCATTTTCGTTTGCTGCAAACTCTGATATCCAAGAGATATCACACCTGTGAACACATTGCCAAGACATGTTCTTTTTCTCTTGTTCTCTTTGCTGTGTAATAAACAAAATGTGTTAGGGCTGGTATTTCTGGAGCCCAGCTTTCTTTAGCTGATCTGATGCCTCCCTTCTTGGCATAAACAAATACTGAATGAATCAGCGTCCATGACACAGAAAGTTTTGGTCACAGATAACACAAACCATAATAACCAGCTGAAGAATACGTACATATACATACAGATCATGCGGAGAAAGCATGAGCGCTGTTTGAGAAGGGGCACTGCCCAGAAGGGGCAGCAGTAAATACACATAATTAACCTGATTGGATGATACAGCTTCCCAACTTCTCCACTACTGTGTGGCTCTGTACTAAATTCAGTGCTAACCACTGCAACAAAACCACTTAGCACAGTCATAACACATCCCCAAAAGATGCAGTCCAGTAGCTTGTGGGGTTTTTTGAGGAGGTGAGGAGGTGGGTGGTTTTCTTTAGTAGTGTGCTTTTAGGTCAAAAATCCTGCAAGAGATGATTTTTAAAATTTTGGAAGATGATCATGCAAATCTTTTTTTTGTCCTGGACTTTTTCAAGACCTTGCTTAGACAGAAGTCTTTTTACAGAGAACACAGCAGATAATACGTGGGTTTTGTCTCAAAACCTGCTTTTCAGTGTTGCAGTGCTAGGGAAACTGTTTGATCCACTGTCTTTGGAAAACTAAAGAGGTAAAATGCAAAATGCCTCAGGCAGAGAGAGAAACAAGGACTTCTGTTTCTTGAGAAGCAAATGAATTGATGCAATGCCTAACTATGGCCATATTTAACTCCAAGCCAGGAAGAAGAAGAAGAAAAAAATCAACTATTCTGAAATAACAAGACTAAAGGAAGAACCTTCCCACCCCCAACATTTTGTAGACAATCAGGCACAGAATCCATGTAATTAATCATTCTCTAATTAGTCTCTTTCTTCTTCTGTGACAGAAAAGCAGCGCCACATTGTTTAGAATTCCTGCCGTACTGTTGTGCTGAATTGCAGACTCTATTGGTGGAAATTCTCTTTGTCTCCAGACAGAGAAAGCAATCAAAACCCTGACTGAAGAAAGGGTGTCACAACACTCTGTGATATGACTGCTAGCATGCGGACTTCCGAGAGAGTAAATGAGTTCCGACCTGGACACAGACACACCTGTCATCAGAACACCAACGTTTTAGAAGCCACTTCTTTGAAGTCTATCTGGACAGGACCTTTGGGACAAGAATGAATATGCACGTGTACAGCACCTAGCATGAAGGGGACAGTGACCTCTGTTTGCTGGGAATGCTCTAATGAGAAGAATCAGTAATGAAAGCAAGAGACAAAGACTCCCATAATTTGCTAAAGTATCCAAAAGGATCATGCCTGGAGCTGGGTTATGCAACTCACAGCAGTTCTCGCAGAACAG